TTCTGATCTGTAGTGGTTATGTCTTTGTTTTATTATGCTCTTTGTGAGGTTTTCTGCTTGAGTTGGTCATTTGTCTTAGTATTGTCTTTGTTTTCCTGTAAGTCTTGTTTTATTGTACCTTTTTTATCTTAATAAAATGGGCTTTGCCCCGGTTCTTCCCAAAAAAAAAAGTCTTTCATTTCCTCCCGTGACATATTTAAGCTGCAGCCATATCTGAATATTCAACAAATACCACGTTTTATAAAGCTAGAATTTCTTCCCTCTACTTTGCTTAACTGAACACATGAGTTGCGTTATTGCGTAAGAAGACACTCATAGCCCTACACGAATGCTAAAATTTCTCACGCACCAGCTTAAAATGACAATTTGTAGAGGGGCTTTTCCGCCATTAAAGCAATTGGTACCTCGGCGGGAAAACGATATAAGATTCCATCGTTCCTTCCGCGTGATACTCCTTCTTTGATCAAGTATTACGTTTGTTATACAACCAGAAATTTTTATAAATCAGTTGGCCGTCCCGCAGCACCGGCTAAGTCGACGCCATGGCAGTCCAACTTCGCCTCTACCATCTAGCATCCACATACGCCAGAATCCACAGCTGCCCGCTCTTTGGAACTCCTTTTCGATCATTCTTCTTCTTCAATTCCCGTCTTCCTTTCCCTCCCGTACTCACTCCCCTTGCTAGATCCTCAAACCGTAGCATCTCCCAAACATTCCTTGCAGGCGGCGGAAATCCCGGTGGTCCTGGGAGCCGCGGCGGAGGTGACGGCGATGGCGATGCATTCCATGGCGAAAAGCCGGAGCGATCGGATTCAGTGGGCCCGATCGGGCTTTTCGTTAGTGGCTGGCGAGCTAGGGTTTTGGCTGACCCCCAGTTTCCCTTCAAGGTTCTGATGGAGCAAGTCGTAGGCGTCAGCGCTTGCGTGTTAGGTGACATGGCTTCCCGTCCTAATTTCGGCCTTAATGAACTCGACTTCGTGTTTTGTACCCTCTTTGTCGGTTCTATTGTCAACTTTGTCCTGATGTATCTCCTTGCCCCCACGGCTGCTGTCTCCTCTGCCGCGGTGGCCGCCACCTCTCTCCCTAGCTACATGTTTGAGCCTGGGCCCTTCTCCGTATTGGCGCGAATCGGCACTTTCGCCTACAAGGGCGCGACCTTTGCTGCGGTCGGCTTCGCGGCTGGGCTTGCCGGGACTACGATCTCGAAAGGGCTGATCGCGTTGAGGAAGATGCTGGATTCAGAATTCAAAACGCCTAATAAGCCTCCGCCAACCGTTCTAAACGCTACTACTTGGGCGCTGCACATGGGTTTAAGTAGCAATTTGAGGTATCAAACGCTTAATGGATTGGAGTTTGTGATGGAGAAAGCGGTTTCTCCTGGAGCGTTCAGGATGTCGGTGGTGGTGCTTCGATGTTTGAACAACGTCCTCGGCGGGATGTCTTTTGTGATGCTCGCTAGGTTGACGGGGTCGCAGAAGGTGGAGGCAGTACTGGAGGAGAAGATGGAAGAAAAAGAAGGCTTGATGGGAGACCGATTGGTGGTGGGGACGGCAGCTTCAGAAGATGGAGAAACAGAGTTGCAGATCAAAGAGTCTCAGAGTGAGTGAGTCTTTTACCGCTCTAGTTATCAAATTTGTTTGAAGGGTGAAAATATATGCAGTTGTACATTTTCTACTTCATACTTTGGAGTAGGAAGTGGAGGGTTAAGACGTCTAGTTATGATTCCTCATTGTTGTGAAAATTTAATTTTTCAATAATAAATCTGGAACGCTGAAGTCTCCATTAGCATCATAGCCGCATTGGGTACCCATGTCCACTGCCATTCATTTACCAATATGGGTAGGTATGGCTACGCTAGGATTATTTATGAGCGGGATCACAAATTTTTAATTTGAAAAATATTGTTAAGTTTGACATTAGAGTTTTAATTTTTTTTTAAAGATCAAATTTAAGATTTTCATATTTAATTTAATTAAAAAATATTTTATAACAAGAAATAAATATATAAAAAAGCTTCATCTTATTAGTATAAAAATATATAAAAAAATTATAGTTAGTATATTTCAAGCTACTTTATTTAAATTTAAATTTTTTAATCGTTCTCTAGTGTAATTTATTGACTTTAATTATATAAATTTTGTAGAAAATGAGAAGAGAGAGAGATACAAGAAGTAAAGCGCAGGGTTCTTGACCCGCGATAAAGAAGGAAAAGTAATTACTATGTTCATCCCAAAGTACAAGTACTACAGCCTATATATATAGACTAGTTACAAGGCCTAGTCCTATGTGTCATAATGTAATAGGCGGACATTAAAGAAATATAGAAATACAAGTTATATTTATATCTTAATATAATGTAATAGGCGGACATTAAAGAAATACAGAAATACAAGTTATATTTATATCTTAATATGCCCCCTCAAACTGAACTATCTGTGCAGATAGACAGTTTGCTCCGTAAAAATTGAAATCTTGGTGTAGTCAAGTTCTTTG